TACGAGGGTACGTCAAGAAGTCCACGGAAAGGTCGCATTATCTTTACTTCTACTCTTCCAGGAACTTTCTGAAGTATTCTTATGTGTAGTGTGGAAAGAGCCCATCCATCTCCCGCGGCGCGACGGTTTCGTCACCACTTACTGCAGGGCTCCGGCGCCCGCTCCGCAGGGCCTCTTCTGTCCGACCGCGGGGGGCCCGCGCGGGGCTGCTATCCTTTGACCAGAAAGAGGAGATCAACATTTTGCTGATGATAAAGGAAGGTTCTTGCTTACCACCGGTAATATTCCTGAGCGTTTGTGTTCAACAAGGTTTTCACCACTACGTGAGAAAACGCCACTTTAAGCTTATTTCACTAGTTAACATTTTTTGTACTTACCTGGCAGGGGAGATACCATGATCACGAAGGTGGTTTTCCCAGGGCGAGGCTTACCCATTACACTATTTAACATTTTTTGAACTTTTAAGGGAAAAAAAAAANTATGTACAACTATGTAATAGTCACCTGGGTAAAAAATACAATGTTGTGGGCCAAGCCCGTGACACACTTGGGAGGGTTTGGCGCTGGGAGCGCGGTAGCGCTCCTGCCGCGGGTTCGGATCCTATTTGGGGATGACCAGTGCGCTCACAGCACTCACTGGCTGAGCGCTGTGCGGCAGGTCTCAAAAAGGACAAAAAAAAAAATACAATGTTGTCAGCACTCTAGAAACACTTCATTTGCCCCTCCTTTATCACAATCTCTTTCTTTTCTCAGAGGTAATTACCAATTTTTTAAAAATCCTAAAATAAAATAACAAAAAGATCTTTGGGAAATAGAAGTGCGAAATAAGTCATTATATAACTACTAAAATATAACTGTGTTGAATCACAAATAAAAGGTTTCTTTTAAAAAAAGCATTAGTATAGTAAATACATAAACGAGTAACAGAGTTGTTTATTATCGAGTACTGTGTACTGTTCATCATTGCATGTGCTATACTTTTAAATGACTGATATTGCGGTTTTGTTTATACCAGCATCACCACAAACACATGAATAATGCTTTACTCTTCCAACTTATGACAGCTAGGACTTCACTAGGCGATAGGAAAATTTCAGCTCCATTATAATCTTATGGGACCACCGTTATATATGCAGTCAGTTGTTGACTGAAACACTGTTATGCAGCACATGACAGTATACGTACTAAATAATCTGAAACTGCTTTCCAAAACGGGTATACTAGATTAGACTCACCAACTGTAGAAGAGAATTCTCATTAGTCTACCAACACTTGCTATTGCCAGAATTTTTAACTTTTGCCAATCTAGTGGGTGTAGTTTATTTAAAAATCAATCAATTAAAACCAATCACTGTGGTCTTAATGCATTTCCCTGATTAGTAATGAGCTTGAGCACCTTATATATTTTTTGCCATTGGATTTATTCAGTTTTAAAACATCTGTTCAGTTATTTAACCTATTTTTTGATTGTGTTGTTTTTTTCTTTAGTTCTTACATATTTTGGATAACGCCTTTTGTCAATCATATGCAACACAAATATCTTCTCCCACTCAGTAGATTATATTTTTCTCTCTTTATAATGTAGTTTGAATGTCAGTTTTTTCCAGTTCTAATCTGATCAAATGCACCAATTTTTTCTGTCGTGCTTTTTGCATCACATATTCCTATCCGTAGATCATGAAGATATCCTAATACATTGCTTTCTCTAAGTT